GGTTCCCCGGTTGGCTCTAAAGCCACACTGGGTCTCTGGGAGGTGATATTCAGCTATTGCGGGTACCAGTCTATTCAGCAGTACTCTTGCGAGGATTTTGCCGGCGACGGACAGAAGTGTTATGCCACGATAATTGGAACAGTCTGATTTCTCCCCTTTGTTCTTGTACAGGGTGATGATGACTGCATGTTTGAGATCTTGAGGGAGTTTACCCTGCTCCCAGCAGCAGACGAAGAATTCATGGAGTTTGGTGTGCAGTGCTGGGCCTCCGTTCTTCCATACTTCAGGAGGGATGCCATCGACTCCTGCAGCTTTACCACTCTTCAGCTGTTTAATGGCTTCCTCAGTCTCTTGTAATGTTGGTGCCACATCCAGTTCGGTTTTCACTGGTTGTTGTGGGATGCGGTCAATCGCTGGTTCTTGGACTGAGCGGCTAGCATTGAAGAGCGTGTAGAAGTGCTCAGACCAGCGGTTCAGGATTGAGTCCTTTTCAGTGAGCAGTTTTTCCCGTCTGCACTCCGCAGGGGGCTCAGGATTTGGTACGAGGGGCCATATACCGCTTTTAGGGCTTCGTAGAATCCCCTGTAGTCGCCAGTATCAGCGCAAACCTGAGTTTTTACTGCGAGGTTGGTCCACCACTCGTTCTGAATCTCTCGAAGCTTGCGCTGGATGGTGCTGCATTCCAGGCGGAAGGCTGCTTTTTTGTGCGGGCAGGATGGTCGTGCCAGGTGGGCCTGGTGTGCTGATCTCTTCTTTGACAGCAGCTCCTGGACTTCTAAGTTGTTCTCATCGAACCAATCTCTGTTTTTCTTCGTGGAGAATCCGAGGGTATCTTCAGATGTTTGCAGAACAACAGTTTTGATGCGGTCCCACAGCACTTCAGGAATTGGAGGCGAGTCTCCTAGGCAGCTCGGTTCCTCTAGCCTAGATCGTAGGCTTTTCTGGAAAGCTGCTTTGACCGCGGCAGACTGAAGGCTGCAGACTTTGAGCTTCTTCCTCGGGGCGCCACCGTTTCTTGGTCTGGGTTTAAAGTGAAAGCTGAGTTTGCAGCGGACAAGACGGTGGTCTGTGTGACACTCGGCGCTGGGCATTACCCTGGTGTGAAAGACATCTTTTAGGTCACGCTGGCGCACAAGGATGTAGTCTATGAGATGCCAATGTTTTGACCGAGGGTGCATCCAGGTTGTTTTCAGACTGTCTTTCTGCTGGAAGATGGTGTTGGTAATGGAAAGCTGCTGTTCCGCACAGAGTTCAAGTAACAAGCGTCCATTGTCGTTGCAGCTGCCCACGCCGTGCCTTCCAAGTACGCCTTTCCAGGTTTCCGAGTCTCTGCCCACTCTGGCGTTGAAGTCGCCAAGGATGACAATCTTGTCGTCAGCTGGGATATCCTGCAGAAGGCTGCGTAGGTCGGAGTAAAACTTGTCTTTTTCAGCGGGATCTGCCTGGAGAGTTGGAGCGTACACACTGAGCAGCGTTGCGTGTTGTTGGTCACGAAGTGGTAGACGCATTGAGATGATGCGGTCAGAGTGACCAGTTGGCAGGCTTGCAAGCTTGGTAGCGATAGAGTCCCTGATCATGAAGCCGACACCTGAACGGCGTCTCTCTGTCGCTGGTTTACCTGACCAGTAAACACGTAATGTCCATCACGCGGTGGCGGTGGCTCTCGGCTCGGGTCGAGTTATCAGATTCATTTCCCCACAGCCAAGCCAACAGGCTGGCTATACATAGCGCCTTCGTGACAGCGCTCATTATTTTTTCAGATGTCACTCGCCACCGACGTGAGCCGTGTCCGTGAGTGGGACTCCGAGCTTCGCCGGGTTCACAGCGCAGTGCGGCGCTAACCACTGGCCACGCGGACTCCATACGAATACAAAACACACGGCCGCTGTCGGCAGCCCTGGCGAACAAGAGATCAATGAATATCCCTCTCTCTCCCATCACCCACGGCCACCACCTCAACAAGCATCATCAATAGGCTGACGTTTCGGGCGCCAGAAACCCCTCTTCTTTAAGAGTCGATAGCGGAGAGAGATTGACTACCGGTTGGATAATCAAGTTGAGGGCATTAAGGAGCTCCTGATCGAAACGTCAGCTTACTGTATTACTATTGTGCTGTCCTTAGTGAATGCTGCGGTGGGGCCGTGGCTCAGCGGGTGGTGGACTGCGCTATGAACCTGGCGACCCGAGATGGATTCCAATCAGTGGCGAGTGATAGCTGAGCCGGTGTGACTACCCCCCACCAACCCACCCCTTCAACAACACGTAATGACCAGCGCGGTGAAGTATGGTCGGACAACACGTGACCGAGAGCCCTTTATTCAGCAGTGCATGCATTGACAAAGGGGCCGTCCATAAATGACGTCACGCGATTTTGGACGATTTTTGACCCCCCTCCTTCGTCACACGACATCACAAAAAAGTCAGACCCCCCCCTCCTCAAATATGACGTCACAAAGCTCTGCCCCCCTCCCCCAAAACAATAAAACATGCTTCAAATCGCTTTAAAATATTGCCATTGTAGTGCGTATTTAATGTGTTGCTGCACTCTGATGTTGTAGGAGAAAATATTTATCAAAAAGGCTATTTCATTAAGTAGAACGTGTTGTCTACATTTATTTAAAGTTGCGCATTTTGATGTGACGTCACATTTCTCAAAACCCTCCCCTCGTCACAAATGTCTAGGTGCGTGACGTCATTTATGGACGGCCCCAAAGGGGTATGGATTCTATTCAATTTGGTCAGTGGCAGTGCTTCGTTCGAGGCACGAACAGACCACGCCTTCATCATCATCATCAGCCATGCTCAGTCCACTGCTAGACGAGCACTTCCACAAGCCGTCCGCACCCGTCACGTGATGCCTCCTAAATTCGCCAAACCCCGGGCTGAATCGGCAAGAGGCCGTAAACAACAACAACAACCCACCACCGTCATCAACAACAAACAACAACAACAAACAACACCACCGACACGAACCCCGACGCTGAGAGCCACAACCGCTTCGAAGGCTGACGACAACAACAACCACAAACACAACAACCCAACAAACACAACAACAGCAGCTGACGAAAGCAGAACTGGAATCAAGGCGTGCGCGTGTGTCTCGATGTTTGTGTTCATGGGAATGCGCAGACCGTGACGTCACAGGGCCGCTATCTTTGTGCGCCCGAGAAGCGAGACGACCCCCCCCCGCCCCCCTTTGTAGCGAGAGCCGAGACCCCCCCCCTGGGGTCCACGGAGAAACCCCCCCCCAGCCCCCCCTCTACCCCAACACAACACATTTCAGCAACCCCCAACCACCCAGCCCCCTGCCCCCCCTCTACCCCAACACAACACATTTCAGCAACCCCCAACCACCCAGCCCCCCTGCCCCCCCTCTACCCCAACACAACACATTTCAGCAACCCCCACCCCCAACCACCCAGCCCCCCTGCCCCCCCTCTACCCCAACACAACACATTCAGCAACCCCCAACCACCCAGCCCCCCTGCCCCCCCTCTACCCCAACACAACACATTTCAGCAACCCCCAACCACCCAGCCCCCCTGCCCCCCTCTACCCCAACACAATACATTCAGCAACCCCCAACCACCCAGCCCCCCTGCCCCCCCTCTACCCCAACACAACACATTTCAGCAACCCCCAACCACCCAGCCCCCCTGCCCCCCTCTACCCCAACACAATACATTTCAGCAACCCCCACCCCAACCACCCAGCCCCCCTGCCCCCCCCTCTACCCCAACACAACACATTTCAGCAACCCCCAACCACCCAGCCCCCCTGCCCCCCCTCTACCCCAACACAACACATTTCAGCAACCCCCAACCACCCAGCCCCCCTGCCCCCCTCTACCCCAACACAATACATTTCAGCAACCCCCACCCCAACCACCCAGCCCCCCTGCCCCCCCTCTACCCCAACACAACACATTTCAGCAACCCCCACCCCCAACCACCCAGCCCCCCTGCCCCCCCCCTCTACCCCAACACAACACATTTCAGCAACCCCCACCCCAAACACCCAGCCCCCCTGCCCCCCCTCTACCCCAACACAACACATTCAGCAACCCCCACCCCCAACCACCCAGCCCTCCTGCCCCCCCTCTACCCCAACACAATACATTCAGCAACCCCCACCCCCAACCACCCAGCCCCCCTGCCCCCCCTCTACCCCAACACAATACATTTCAGCAACCCCCACCCCCAACCACCCAGCCCCCCAGCCCCCCCTCTACCCCAACACAACACATTTCAGCACCCCCCCACCCCCATCCTGTGGTGACACTCGGGCCTAGCGTGTAGGGGTCACATTCTGACAATCAGAAACACCCGGACGAGTGGGGGGGGGGGGGTGAGCGATGCGGGGGACGATGAGAGATGAGGTGAGGGATGGTGGTGATGGGGGGCGACACGGGGTCTGGGGGGGGGGGGGCTGAGAGACGGGGGGCAATTTTCTCCCGGGGTCTCACAGACAGCAGCAGGGTGTGTGTGGGGGGGGCTCACAGGGACCTCATCTGACATTTGGCCACGGGGTCTCGCCAAAACCTGTCGGTGGGGGGGGTCGACAGGATCGGGATGATCTTAGAATGCCGCGGGGTGGTGGTGGTGATGATGATGATGATGGTGGTGATAATGATGATGATGGTGGTGATAATGATGATGGTGATGATGATGATGGTGGTGATGATGGTGATGATGGTGGTGATGATGATGGTGGTGGTGATGATGGTGGTGATGATGATGGTGGTGGTGATGATGGTGGTGATGATGATGGTGATGATGGTGGTGATGGTGATGATGGTGGTGATGGTGATGATGATGGTGGTGGTGATGATGGTGGTGATGATGATGGTGATGATGATGGTGGTGGTGATGATGGTGGTGGAGACGATCCGATGGGATGCGAATTGCGAACAATGAGGTGCGGGAAGGGGGGGGGGCGTCGCAGAGGAGGGGGATCAGAGTACCCCCCCTGCCCCCCTGCTCCCCCGTATCGCGACTCACCATGTACAGCAGGTTGAGCACGCACAGCGCGTTCTTGGCGCACGCGAACCCCCCGAAGCCCATGTTGGCCATGTCAGGTGCCCGCGCCGTCTCCGCCTGCGTAGCCGCGCGTGTCTCTCTGTGTGTCTGTCTCTGTGTGTCCGTCTCGTCTCCGCGTCTCTCCCTGTGTGTCTGTCTCGTCTCCGCGTGTCTCCCTGTGTGTCTGTCTCGTCTCCGCGTGTCTCCCTGTGTCTCCCTGTGTGTGTGTAGCCGAGGCGGATGGGGAGCGCCCGTGTCTCCTCTCTCGCTTCCCTGTCGCCCCGTGGCCCCGCCCAGACGCTACGAGGCAGGGCCCGGGCCAAGTCGCCTGCCCACCCGACTCGATTGGCGGCGTCCGCCCACGTGGACCCCCCCCACCACCACTTACGAGTTCACGGGACCCGCATGGGCTGATGTCATCACGACCACCACCGCCGCTGCTATCGACATCACCATCGCTGGCCCCCACCCCTCCACCGCGTGATTCGTGACTCAGCCCGGCGTCACCCTCACCTCTTGCCACCCCTCCCCGTGCGGAGAGCCTCGACAGGACTGAATAATGTAACGAGGCCAGGTAATTCGAGGCACGCGCCCGCAGCAGCAGGCGGCGGGGTTCAGGTGCGCGAGGCGCACGTGGAAAAAGCGTCACGTGCAGAGAGACGGACACGAGACCGCCGTCAGTGTGTCTACATTACCATAGCGCTGTAAAGCCCATATCAGTGCTGCCCAGCTTATTACAGACCAATTGAGACCTAGCTGGTCACACCGTGCCCTTGTAAATATCAACGTTCATCCTACAAAATCCCATCACAAGGGAGAAACACAAAAGACAAAAAAAAAAGTTTTTGGCCCGTAATGTAAACGGATGTACGCCGCATAGACCTGAAACTCAATTCCCCTGTACAAGAATACGGGGTAAGCCATATGGGTTGACGGCTATTTATTATTTTAAATGTCCTGGGGTCCCCCCCCCAAGTTAGCCCCGGGGTATTGAGAATATCCCCGCCGACCACCATTCCACCGTGCCCCGAGGCGATCGTGAATAATCGGATATCACCGGTTTACTTTGTTTCCGAGCTCATGCTCAACCTCATGATACGGGCAACGGGCGGGAGCTTAACAGTCGTATTCGCACCTGGTTCAACTAAATACAGACAAAACTACTTCGTGATGTTATACCCACACTCGTTTTGTTCACTTACGAAATGTTTACCAGCTGTATTAACGCAATTATCGATTCACCAATGAAGCCTCTCACATATTTCTCATACAAAAGAAATAACGCTCATTGGGAAAGACCCCCCCCCCCATATATACACAATGGTATGACCCCTTTTATCTCCGATTCCATTCGCACACGCTTCTCCAGGGACGCATCTTGAGCGCTAAGCGAAGTCTGCCTTTACAGTACACTTCAAAGAGTGAGCGGGGGGCGTGCTCAGTGAGTTTCAAGCCTCTCCGAGTCAAAAAAAACCGCGTGCCACTATCTTCTGTCACCCGCCGGGCTCACACAGCCTCTTTCTCGGCGAACGCTGTGCCCCATCTGTGTTGAGCAGCTTACAGATGGACACTTGACTTTCGAAGGGTGTTTGTGGGGGAAAAAAGCATTTGATAGTTGGCTTGTGTGTCAAAGTAGGCAGATAAGTGGATGGGGGAAAAAGTGAACTATACATCCATTGTATGGCCATTTGGGAAGATTATACGAGGGGGTGGGTGACAGCAGCACGCCCGGCCGCCTTTGTCTCCCCAGTGGAAATGTTCACACACCACAGCAGTTACTCGTTTGAGGCCGAGTCGACCTAGGGGAGGCCCAGGACCGGTTCAAATAATCGTCACTGGTGGTGGCCGTGAGCGAGAATCGAACTCGCGTCGCCGGGTTCGTAGCGCAGCGCGCTAACCGTGTTACGCTTCGACATGAGCGGGTCACGTGACCGATTTGGACGTCACAGCTCACTTGCCGAGAAAAAAATATATGCATTATTGAGCTCCCCTCCCCCAAAAACATTTATTTTTATAATTTTTGCATGGTGTACAGTCTGGAAAGTACCCACATGGCAAATTTCAAGTTTGTTGCATGTCAGGAAGTACGCTAAACATTTTGAACAGACACACATACTCACAACTTTGCTTTATATATATGGAGATAATGAAGTGTTCCAATAAACCATGGCTTATTGTAAATACGTGGACACCCGTCAAGAGGGAGAGACTGGTGAAGACCCACGCATCACCAATGCGAATATTCATAGCATTTAGAGGCATCAGATTACCAATGCCTCTAAATGCTATGGATATAAATTGTCAGCTAACAAAAATAGCAAAAGTCAGCAACACGTCACAATGTAGATCAGGCACACGCGTGTTGGTTGCGTTGATTTACCAGGTTTTAATTGTAAAGTTTTAAAAATACCCAGCGTTCTTTTGCCATGTCGGTAAGCAGCACTCGCTCAGAAGCCTGGCGAGCGTGCCTTCAAGGTCGCACAGAAACCAAGCAAAATGCCACACACGACTATATAGCGACTGTGCGGGCAAAACTGTCCAGCGAGCACACTCGGGCAGGGGAGGGTGCAGCCACGAACCTATCGATTACCACTCCACAGCCAAAACCAAGCACAATGTTTACATCTTAAAAGGGAAAAAAATCTCAATGCGCAAGTTGGAATACAAGGGGGTCGTTGTCATTCACCGATGTGTGCACATACGTAGCCGAGTGTGCGCGTGGCGAGTCTCAGTGTCGAGAGATGATACACATCCTTTTGGAATAAATCGCTCCATCTCCGTGGAGCACCCCTGGCTTGAACACACAACGCTGCCGCGTGCAGGTGCAGCGTTTGGTTTTGGCGCTCCCAAAAGCAAGAGGGTCGTCGTCTGTCAACAGGGTCCCCCCCTTCCTGCGGCTGAACGCTTGGGCACGAGCGAAATCTGGTGTGTCCCCCCCCCCACCCCCCGGCCTCAGCGAGGGGGTGACGAGTGCATATCAGTGCACGGTCGCGTTAATCCTCCTCCTCCCCAGAGTCCGACTCTGCAACATAAACGTGTTCAGCCGGTTGTTAAACACTGACAACGGCACATGAGCAACTTTGCTTACCGTACACTGGCATGGTAGACCATTTACATAGACAGAAAACCTATTCAAATTGCAACATGTAGTCTCAAGTCATTTAAGTAAACCCCTGTTGACCAAAAAAGGGCAGTAGGAGGTAATGAGATCCTTCCTCTTCAATGAAAGTACTTTTTTCCCCAACCAAAAGTAACAGCCAGCGGTGATGTAACTTGGAATATAGATTCCAAAATAATCATTACCTTGAATGTAACCATCGCGGACTGGTTGTCTGCATTGACGGGTGTGAATTACAGCGTACTGCAAAGTGCACGTACGATTGGCACAGGTGTCGTGGTGACGTCGCCCTCACTGAGTGGAGAATGGCGAGTATTGGTTTTGGATTACAGTGAAACAAAATGATAGGCCAGGAAACGTACAACACACAACCCTGCCTGTGGCTCCTTGCATTTAAACGAAAGCTTCTTGTTCAAAGACATGAGGTATAATCCGCCATGGGAGAGGTGTTGTGACTGTTGGTGGTCAGGTTGTACCTTCCTCTGCATGCTGCAACCACTCCACAAACTTCTTCATCTGCTCCAGGAAGATGCTCTTGCCCTTGGCCAGGTGAGCCTCACGGTACCACTTCAGGATGGCATCCTCACTCAACACGTCCGCTGCGGGGTGATCACACAAAACGACAGTAACTGCCACCATACGCCACTAAGTGGAGGTGATGCAACCACAGTGCTTGTGCCAGGCTAGATACACTGATGCCACGTGAAGTGTGGAAGGCTCGCCGGTCGATCCCAGGACAGACCTCGGTGTTATGGGTTAACTCATGACTCACAGAGTCACTGGCTGTGCTCCCCACTGTGCCAACATACAAGACAAAGACACAGACGTGCACACCAATGTATAACAGCCAGCCTTGGAAATCCCCTACAGGTGAAAAATCCCAGTGGGGCTGGCTCTGACCATGACCAACAGAAGGAACCAGTGCACATTAAGGTTAGCAAGGCTCCCAAGACACACGCCGGGGAATGTGGTGCTCTAGCCACCAAAGGTCAAAGTAATCTACATGTTTTGTGTGATTTTTTCCTTAACCTCAACACACCCGAACTCATTAGATTTCTCAAGCGAAGAAGAGTCGAGCCGGTTTAGTACTTGGTTAGGTGGGGGAAATGCCTGTGAATACATGGTGTCGTAGGTTTGAACTGTAAGGTGGCCAGGAGATAATTGAGCCCTTGAGAGTGGGGTTTCTTGGTATGCGACACATGCTTGAAAGTCTTCACATTCATTGAAGCTGTCATACTCTTATATAAGCGCACAACTTTACCTATCTGTGATGAACACTGCACTTTCTGTCGTTTTCATGCAGGGGGCGCTGCAAACCTACGCGCCCCCTACATGAACGATGGAGGCGCAGGGACAAACATTCGATTACGTTGGAATCGATCTGCAGACAGCGGTCTTCTCGCACGGCCAGCTCTATGTCACCTTATCTCGATCCCGCAATCCCAAACAGGTGAAAGTCCGCATCGAACCGGACCCCCAGCAAGGCCATCTACTTAACGACTAGAGAAAATTCACACGAATGTCGTTTTCAATTAAGACTTCCAGATGTAAAATGATATAAGTTTTAATGAAGAAATACAAATATCTAATTCAAAACATAATACAATTCAAAGAGGTTTCATTTTTAAACTTAAAAATGGATCATCGGGTGCTTGAGTGAATGTGTCGTTCGTGTGCAATTTTTTTAGTGACTTTCCTGGCCAAAGGCCGTAAATGACTAAATATAGCTCCACCTTTATTTAACTTGAATTTCGCCAGCCTATGGCCGCCTTATTCCAGCTCCTGCGGAGGAGGGCTTCTTGGCGCTACGCACCTCACCCATCGCCCCCACTGATGTCCTCTTCTTCCCCCCCCCAATGTGTGCAGATACTACTATAGACTCTATTGTATGTAGGGTGTGTAAGCAGATCTGGCTACAAAATACATTTCTTTTTTTTGGGGGGGGGGGGGAATTTTTTTTTGGGGGGGGTCAACAATTGTTGTAACCCTGTTGGATAAACTTTTTACCCCCACATCTGGGGGATGGGGGGGATCCACTTTCCATAACTTTTTTATTCAGGCCTTCTGAAAGACTCTTATCATTTAGTTGACGAACAAATGAATAAACAGAACGCCGGGCTTTTGGCTTTTATAACAGATTTTTGCCTTGGCAGAGGCCATTTCAAGAGTAACTTGCAAACTCTAATTTATGCCCATTTTCGAGGTCGTGTTATTGCGACTACAAGAGTCTCACCTTTGTAGAAGAGCACCACTATCTTCTGGAAGGTCTTCATGAAGTGTATGTTGTCGTAGCAGTACTCCTGCACTTTGAGTAGGAGCGTGAGCTCTGACTGGCCCTGGCTGGTGAAGGATGCCAACAACGGCGTGTATTGCTGTAGCGACAGGGACACGATTCGGTACAATAGAAATATTCAATTACTATTAAATACATAAAATACATTATACAGGCGGTGTCCGGTTTATGACGATCCACATTTCGACGTTTATATAACGCCAATGTGGATCGATTTACAATGCAGAAACTTTATTTACGACGCATCTTTGTGACATGACTCCGAACACATTTGAACGGAGTCGATCTGGCTTCCCACGTGACTTGGCGTGAAGCTTTCGTTCTTCTCAAGTGTTTTTGTGGATTTCTACCTTTTAAACCCTTTTAAATACGGCCGATGAAAGGAAAAACACATCGTTACGTGATGTTTCTACCGTTTCCACTGGTTATGGGAAAACAGGCTCCGATTTACGACGATGCAATTTACGATGACGAAGTTTCCAGAAACGCATCGCGTCGTAAAAACGGGGATCGCCTGTATATAAATACAGTCCTTTCTCCTATAGCACGGTGTTATTATAATGCGAACTGGATATAACGCGATTAAGGTATTAGAGAACACATTTTGTTATAACGCGGATGCGAATTGGATAGAACGCAATCGAGTGAACGGAACTACGTGATGCGACTAAGAATAAGTGGTTGCACAGCTGCCTCGTTGCAGCATCACACAAGGCGGGATGCTGCTGGATGCTTCTAGATGCAACCCACACGCCTCAGTCTTTGGTTCAGCCTGCATACACATCTCATGTGTTACTGCGGACTGGCCTTTACCCTATATTATATATTTATTACAACGCGATTGTTCCATAATGCTGTGCTCTTCAGGAACGCAACTACAGTATTATAGGAGAACGGACTGTACACCAGAAGAAGCAATGTGAAGAACAAGGTGAAGCATGGGGGGGGAGGGGGGGCGGAAACTGACAGGCAAGCCGAGAGAAAGAGGAGACTCGAAGTTACGAGCCTGGATATGAAGGACTGTGGAGTGAACGTGGACATGGCGTAGGACAGAAATGGGCGGAAAAAGAGGACCAGGAATGCAGACCCTCCCACACGAGTCGTAAAGTGCCAGGAATAAGAAGAAAAAAGCTCAGCTTGATACCGACCCATCAACAATTCTCATCAAGGAACATAAACCATCAGGCGCAAACTCCGGTCGTCCTCGCGGCCCCCATTTGGCTAGCCATCGAACAAAGACGGTCACTGCTCTCGGGTGCGCTTCTGCGGTCGTTCGGAACACTCTTCCTTCTGATATTACAAAGCCACTGGAGCTATGCACTTTTAAATGTTGATTAATAACTAATTTCATTAGAACTGCTTTTTACACGCTTTAATTTACTCTGTCTGTTGTTGTCGTCGTTGTCGTATTCTCAAATCTTGTAACTCAATTTTAACCCACTTCCCAATGTGGTATCGACTGCAAACTTGGTACACTTATGTCATACTGATAACAATATTATATTCTATAAAAAAATAAAAAAAGTATTTTTAAATATTACTTATTGTGTTTAGTTTGTTGTCCTTCCCCCACACCTCCGATTAGCGCGTTTGGCTACATACGGTGCAAAAGAAGTTAAACATGCATATGTACAACAATTGCAATTGTGCTGTAAGGAGATGGGCAAACCTTAAGGTGCTTGACCGCTTGCTCCGTGACCAACTCCTCCTTCTTGTTCCACTCCACCTTGTTCATGACGCACGTCCACATGAGGCTCACCACCGCCTGCTCGGAGATGTCGTTCTTCCTCATCTCCTCCTTCACGTACACGGCGATCTACGTGCAGCCACGACACAAGGAGGGCATCGCTGCCGACCCCTGCATAACATCGGAAAGCTGAGATCGCCAAACACAGGCAAGGTTATCAGAGCTCCCCGATGCTTCTCCAATATCGCACCCACCTCCTTCACCGGCTCCCCCAACTCCAGTTTCTCAGTCAACTCCTTCTGCAGTTCTTTGCGCGTGCCGAGCGTCTGCTGAGCGCGCAGGAAGGTGGCGAGCTCCGTGAGTCCGTTGGCTGTGAAGTACGCGGAGAAGTGTTCCACACTTTGCTTGTTTGGAGGAAACAGCTCCTGTGATTTGTGGGAGAAAAAACCCCTGAACACCAATATAAACAACATCAATTCCACTTTGGCTTGTGCACCTTCCGTTCTCTTTACTTTGATTTACTATATTTACTTTATTTACGCTATTCGTTGCGCGAGGTTGCAAATTACTTTGCTCAGTTGGTGTTAGCCGCTGAGGGCGTGACGGGTTTCATTTTTCATTGCCGTTGCTCCATGCCCCCTGTACTGTTCTCATTCCATTGTAATGTGCCCTCATGCCTACTTTATCGAGGGCGATATTGGCACGTTAAATAATAGATTGATCGATTGCACCAAACAATGTAAATTTACAGTGAACGGCTTCGCAAGTTACTTGAGCAGTTGTTTTAGATTGGTAGCAATTGCGTTGATGCCCACAGAATAGAATATTTGCATTTGATTCACCAGAAGCCTCTTGTCCATGTTGGCCTTTTTCAGAGCAAACGTTACGGAGTTCATGTCCTTCTCTGCTATCCAGGTCTTGAACAGCTTCACGGCAAACGTTGCCGAGATTCCTGATGCAAGAAGGCAAAATCATTGTAAATCACAGCAAGAATAGCAGCATACTTAGCAAAACACTCGCCATATCACTCGTAAACAGACTTCCAACGATACCGATGAGATGTGGCGAAAGGCAGAATAATTTAGGGAATAAAGAGGTGCTATGTTAAAAAAATAAAATTTGCTCGCCCTCTTTGACGATGGCGTCCGTGAAGAGGCTGGAGAGCACGGTGGCGGGTAGGGCGCCGCCCGCCAGCAGGATGCCGGTGAACATGGCCAGCTTGTTCTGCTCCGACTCGGAGAAGCCCTTCAGGAACATGAGCAGCTGGAGCGAGAGGTGCACGACCGTCAGACGAGAGAGAATGACGGCAAGCAGGCATGCCATGGGCGTTAATAAATGGGGCGAATACCGCGCCCATTCGTCCAGACCATAACACTTGAAGTCAACAGGATAAATTAAATTCACCTTTTTGAACTCCTCCTCCAGGTATTTCTCCAGGTATTTGTATCGTCGAAGGAGCTTCGAAAAGACCTGCAAGGTGACCAGCGCTAAATATAAATGCTTGCATAGGTGGCATGCACTATCAGAAGGATAACACTTAAAAACAATACATGTTTTTGCACGATAGTTGTCTTATAACAAAGCTATCGGTTAAATATAATACATACAGACAATTGTCACAGAGAGCTAGAAAGCTCCTTTGGCGTGTGACACCAGAGCTAATGGAAATGAGCCAAATCCTGCTGCCAGTTAGGATAAGTCTGGGACCCATATGTGAGCAATATTCCACACATCTTCCTTAACAGAGACGGATACATTGTCTTGACGCATTCCGACCTGGATACACGTTAGTCACACCTTCCGAGTGACACTTCTACGGGCAAAGGACATTATACATCTGTGATCCACACAGACATGCACGCCACGTACCTGAGCAAAGGCCCGCATCTTTTCAATGTCCTCGTCAGCCGTGAACACGCACACGCCTGTGCGTGTCACCTTCGACTTGTCTCCATCGTCCACGAGCGTGCCACCCGGCGCTGTGGTGGAATCATCAATGTTACTTTTTTTGTAATGTATAACTCGAATAATTGCTATTAATAGAAACCCCGGTGGATAACACAGTTTATTCATTACTAAAGCACTACAACTATCATAGCTGGATACTAAATCACACTAATCGAGTGTTGCAGATTCGACGCATCAACCGTCTAACCGATCCTAGTTTTTGCCATCGACATGGTGGGCAGAGCCAAGGCGAGACTACCCAGCAAGGGATGTGCGTGCACCTTCTACAAAAATATACTATGAAAAAAATAATAAAACTACTATTACGGTCAAGGGCATTCACGTTCATTGACGCAGTAAGGTCGTCTCACCCAGCATGCCGCCTGCCACCAGCACGTCGAAGAGCGTGTCTGCGTAACGGCGGTAGTCGAGTTTGGAGCCGGTGACATCGAGGAAGCGGGACACGGCCTCCAGGTCCCCGGCCGTCTCATCCAGGCCCTGCACTACAGCATCTCGGAAGAGAGACGGCTCGAACTTCTCCTTCTCATCTGCAGACACAACGAGTGCACACGTTGATACACCTCAGCACCAACAACCAAGCACCTTCAACACATCAGCACATCCTTCTCATCTGCAGACACAACGAGTGCACACGTTGATACACCTCAGCAGCAACAACCAAGCACCTTCAACACATCAGCACATCCTTCTCATCTGCAGACACAACGAGTGCACACGTTGATACACCTCAGCACCAACAACCACCAAGCACCTTCAACACATCGGCACATCCATAGTCTGACACCTCGACACCAGCACCTGAGCACCTGAGCCCATCATCACATTCAGATCTCAACACAACATTTATTCCTCCTATAATTATTGTCTTTTCCCAATTATGTATCCATTTCGTTCTCTAGAAGAGAAGCGCAGACCCTTCATGTAAGAAAAACGGCCACAAAAGTGCATTTTCCACACCTTGGCAATTTAGCATACCAACATCTGAACACCTTGACACTTTAGATCTTTGACCCATCAGCACCAGACTGCCAGGTCACAGTCAAGTGTCACTTCTGTGCAACCGCAGGAGAACATACAGTGGCAGGTGTTTGGCACAGACACCGAGGGCACAGTCCAAACACTAGGTCAGCGATAGTGTCACGCACGGGTCAGCACGTACCCCGCTTGCGGGTCTTGAATCGCTGCCCCGTTAGCGTCGGCTTCGGCTGCTTTGAATTATTCATAAACACTTCCTGCGAACACAGGGTCACATGAGTGTACAGTCTGTTCTCCTAATACGCGGTGGCAGTTGCGTTCCTGAAGAACACCGCGTTATGGAAAAATGGCGTTATAATTCATAAAATGTAATGTAGTGTCAAGCACAGTCCGCGATAACACGCGAAATGCGTACACCGGCTGAACAAAGACTGGGACGCGCGGGTAGCATCTAGAAACATCTAGCAGCATCCCACCTTGTGCGATGCTTCACCGAGGCAGCCGTACGACCGCTTATCCCTACTCGCGTGAGGAAGTTCCGTTAACTCGATCGCGTTATATCCAATTGGCTTCCGCGTTATAAAAAAAAAAGTGCTCCCAAATACATTCATCGCGTTATATCCAATTCGTGTTACGAAAACAACACGCTGCGTTATCGGAGAACGGACTGTAAATTGGTTTTAATGGCAGCAGCGGTAATCTCTGTGGCAGTAACAGCGGCTCGAGTCAAAGCCGCGGCATGATGGGCCCAGGTATGGCAGCGTGCACCTGCGATCCATAGGTAAGGGTTGGGGCATCATCTTGGTGAACTTCCAAACCTAAAACGGGTGCGAGGTGGCCAATGCATGCCAGGACACCAAATGGGTTCAGTACACCAAAATGTGTTCTTGAACCCCATCTGTGCAAACCAATTAACTTGCCTCAGACATGATAACCACTCGCTAAAACGTGCCACGCTAAGACCCTTTTCAAACAAGTCTCGATCGTCGGTGAGATTTTCCTGGATGATTAAACGACAAGTTTATTGTATATTGAAAAACGACACCATAGTCACTTGTGATTGTAGCTATAGCAACGGTAGTAATACAATTGCAACAGTAAATTCGCTTTTGGCAGTCGTAACACGTTTGCGGCAGGAAAATTATAGTACCAAAAATGCAGTATCAACAGCAACATCAGCAATGGAACTACAGCAGTAACACATTTCTGCGGAGGGAGCTGGTAGGAACGTTGGGTTGCTCGGTCAATGGCCAGGGTCAACGGCGGCGTGGTGTATTCCGCAAATATGCCCGACTGTGAGGGCGGGCACAAGCCGGCGTGAGTAGGTTAAACGTTTAAAGGCACCACGGGGTGACCAGCCCCTCCCCACCCAGCCCCACCCCTCCCACCCAGCCCCACCCTCCCCACCCAGCCCCACCCTCCCCTCCCCACCCTCCCCACCATCCCCACCCAGCCCCTCCCCACCCAGCCCCACCCCTCCCACCGAGCCCCACCCTCCCCACCCAGCCCCTCCCCACCCAGCCCCACCCCTCCCACCCAGCCCCACCCTCCCCTCCCCACCCTCCCCACCCAGCCCCTCCCCACCATCCCCACCCAGCCCCACCCTCCCCACCCAGCCCCTCCCTGCACGACGGACGGACACAATAATCCCCTGTGGGCTGGTGGAACCAGTGGGTTCCTACCAGTACAATGTATTTACAGACGTGGCTGCTAATGCTGCAGAGGTTATTGAAGTTGCCGCATCACCAGGAACTGCAGAATGCGCAGCAGTAGAGGCGAAATCTGTTCCAGTGCTGCAACCATAGCAGCAGTGACTGCATCAGTAACGGCAGCAGTATCGCCAATAATATCCACAGTATGTACTTGAAATAGCGTAACGTTGCATGTGTAACTGCATCAGTATCAGCATTAGATGTTGGCAACTGAACAAGCCATTGAATCAGCACGATCGTGTGAACCGACTTGCAGCATCTGCAATCTGGATGAGAATAACTGCATCAGCAATAGTATAATAGCTCTCAGCCGGAGCTGCATCAGCACGAATACTCTTTTTTAAAAATAAAGCTATTCGTGCTGATGCAATGCCACTTATACAAATGCATCTAGAACATATGAAGATAAATAATTACTCTAATAGTAAGCAACAGTATATGTACTGGAGCATCCGGTGCATCAGTAACTACACCATGAATGAATGAAGCGACATCGGTACGAGCTAAATCAGTAGCTGCATCCGTATAAGCAGCTGTAGCAGCTGTAGCAGCAGTAACAGAAGCAGCAGCAGCAGCTGTAGCAGTAGCAGCAGTCACCACATGAGCGAATCTGCATCAACGCCGGTTCCACGATATGAGACAGTCTCGTAAAGCCACTCGACAGGGCGGTCCAGATGTCTCGTGACCCACAATTAATTGACCCCTAAATTTAATATTCATTTGTTTTAAATAAACCTTGCTTTTTAAAAAAACACAATACGTTTTTAGATAATTAAATGGGGGGGGGGGGGGTCACGAGACATCTGGACCACCCTGTTATCCTCTGCGTTCCTTCAACGGAGGAAGAGCAAAACGGGGCACGGACTCTCTCGCGAGCTCCGTGGCTTCGCAGCTGCAGCAGCTGCAGCTCGTGACCACGGCGATGCTGCTGCTGCTACTGCTGCAGCTGCTGCTACTGCTGCAGCTGCTGCTACTGCTGCAGCTGCTGCTACTGCTGCAGCTGCTGCTACTGCTGCAGCTGCTGCTACTGCTGCAGCTGCTGCTACTGCTGCAGCTGCTGCTACTGCTGCAGCTGCTGCTACTGCTGCAGCTGCTGCTGCAGCTGCTGCTACTGCTGCAGCTGCTGCTACTGCTGCAGCTGCTGCTACTGCTGCAGCTGCTGCTGCTGCCATCAAACACGACGCGAGAGGAGAAGCGAGATGCCGCACGAGAAAGAGAGTGGAGCGAGCGGCAGGCGGAGATTCACCCTGTCCCACGGTCGCCTTCCGCCGTCTGCTCGATGTAGTTGTCGCTTGCGATGAGTTAATTCGTCTGTTGTTGTTGATGTTGTTGATTTCGTGGCCAGGTGTCAGAATCGTCCCCGCGCTGCCCCAGCGATGGACGAGGAGGGGGGGGGGGCAGGACTCGGGGAGCGCGCGCGGCATGCCGGGGGACGTCACGTGGCCGCCTCCTCCGTCCACGTGGGCCAGCTGCGTCGGCTCGACCACGTGGCGGGGGATTTAAAGGGCGACGAGCGGAAGGCACACGCGTGGCGATCTTCGTCTCTTATCTTTGCGTTCGTCGTCACGTGGCCGCTGACGTCGACGCAGAGCAACACATTGCAATTTACATGCCCAGATAACGACGTCGGGAGCAAGCGGAGTAAGGGCATCGCTGCGATGTCTGATTCGTATTTGTGGATTGGACATTGCGTCCGTTATACGTGTGGACCGGTCTGTTCTAGATGATCACAGTCGCACACGGAGAGTTATTAATTTTCAATTTGTGCATCAGGTATCCGCATCTGCCATGATTTGTGCAGTGGATGCAGTTTGGGGGGGGGGGGGTGGTTGGAATGTGACCAGGAGACTATATTGCCCTTGTACAGATCTTTTGTCAATCCACTGCTAGATGAGGGTTTCCCCACGCTGTTGGTCACATGGGTTCACCACGCTGGCCTGCAGTGCGGGTTGGTGAATGGTGCCGGTTCAGGTGGCACTGAACGCCGCTTCTATCGCAGCTGTCACTGCCCGCAAGTGCTTTAATTAGTGTTCGTGACTACATTTCAAACACAATTCCTGCGGAGGGAGCTGGTAGGAACGTTGGGTTGCTCGGTCAATGGCCAGGGTCAACGGCGGCGTGGTGTATTCCGCAAATATGCCCGACTGTGAGGGCGGGCACAAGCCGGAGTGAGTAGGTTAAACGTTGAGTTTTATAAGGGCACCACGGGGTGACCAGCCCCTCCCCACCCCTCCCACCCCCCACCCAGCCCCACCCTCCCCACCCAGCCCCTCCCCACCCAGGCCCTCCCCACCCAGCCACTCCCTCCCCACCCAGCCCCTCTTCACCCAGCCCCACCCCTCCCATTTTTGATGCACGACGGACGGACACAATAATCCCCTGTGGGCTGGTGGAACCAGGTGATTCCAACCAGTATAATATGTAGTGTCAACGATTCAGAGACAGAGTTTCTAGGAGGCACTTTATTAACAACTTTCACAGCCTCGTCCGCACACTCTCCACAGTAGCTCAGCCTCGCCTGTACACAACACGAGCCGTCTAACACTGACGGTGTTGACTGAGATAATGCAATATCGAGCGGACGACGGCGATACGACAGCAATGACGAGATGAGTCTATTTCCAGAACCGGCAGCCTCGAGCCCCCGCTCTCGGCTCCTTTTTTGCAACCAGCGCGGCCTGGCTCCGCCCTGACCACGCCTCCCATCTCGAACCCACTAGCAGGTTCCAGGGGCCTCCAGATGGGGTCCTCCGTGACCCTTGCCCTAGTTCCTCTGCTCCGCCAACACACCGTGCTCACGCTCACCGGCGTGGGTGCTGTCTGTCCACCACAGCTGCCGCTGCCGTCCACCAGCCGGCGCTATTACACTACACATACATCAAGTGACAGTACACATACTTTAACTTTTTATTACAGATTGCATACTTGTGACTTCAAATAATTATTAAACTATATTTTATGTATGTGAATACCTTTTGTGGTGGATATGCATTTCATTATACTGTACTATAATCGTTTATTTAAATTACATTTTAATTACACTAACCTTTAATGAACATTCAAGTTAATTGCACGTAGTGAGCCACTGATAAGGCTTAAGACACGGATTTTCGTAAGCTGTGGGATTGTCATCAGTTTTAAAAAACAAACAATTTGTACAAAAAGCATTATGCAAAAACCATCAACCGTTCCTGAAGAACTGCCTTAGGTGACCATCAAATACATTTGTGCAAATGTGGTGGATTTTCTCGTAATTTACAGATGCAGATTTTGGCATTGTCATCCGAAAATCTCGATTTCAAAATTAACAAACTCCACACAACCATCAATAACACTTCCCTAAATGGAAATATATAATAAGCAACGTTTCGGTGAATGGCCCATAATTCAAGCAGGTTTTCCTGCTGTGAAACATTGTTGGGCTCTTGTTATTTGTGTTTGTGCACCACTTACCAATGCAGCATCGCAAACACATTTACGGAAATCTAGGATTGCAAACGTCACCGTTCGAGTTTGGCGTGTTACGTGAAAGTATTAGGGATGGATCAATATGTACAGTACTTGTGCAAACGTTGCAAATGACCTCAGCAAACTGTTAAGTGCCGAAGGTACTTACTAGACATTGGTTGAGCAATGTATTCGGGTAATGGATAGTGTGTTGATGATCAGTTAAGGATATAATCAGGGCCAATGCTATTATGTATGTTGAGCTTTTTTCGCACTGTATATAGCCAACCATGCTTATCGAAATTCTAGGAGCTGGTTGGCTGGTTTACTCGAAGTATTTACATAGATAGGGGATAGCATTGAGCGCTCGTTGTCTAGTTGTTCTCACCTGGTTAAACAAGATCAACTTTAACTTGAAACTTGCTCGGATTATGAGTTAAAGGCAAGTGTTTTGTTAGCCTGTACATAAAAGCTACAACATGTCCTGGACAATCTCAGTTTCGGAAAGTGTCTGTGAAAATTGCGTTTTTGTCCCGGTTGAACATTTTCTTGCTTCACGCTCGACTTCTGCATGATATGTGATGGGGTCAGCGGTACTTGAATAGTGGGCGTGATTGGTAGAGGATCATGTGGGGCCTTATGAGCACGACTGTATAAAAGTTGGCGTGGCCTCAGGTGGGGAGGGGATGGCAGCTCGCAATGTGGCCCTCCATTAAGCCTCCCAAAATATATGGTTACACTCCACCCGAAACACCGTCTTCTCTCCATCGCTACATTTAGCCTTTTCGGTTTCAACCACTCTTAGACTTTCCGGTGCTCATGGCAGAGCCTCAGTAGATGATCCCCTCGGGATCCAGGAGCAGGTAGTCCCTGAGCCGCGCCGGCAGTGGGAGGCGTGGGATCTGGGAGTGGCAACGCTCGCCCAGGACCCCGCGGATGGCACAGCGGGACAGGTGCAGTAAGGATCGCGGCACTCCGTTGCAGAAGTGCAGCAGTGACGCGTAGAAGTCCCCGTGTGCCTGTGAAGAGCATGAAAGAGCACGAGGGGGACATGAGGGGGCATGGGGTGCATGGGAAGGTGTTTCATGGCCAGGAATCGAACTCGTGGTGGAGTGTGCAAACCAATGCGTCACCACTCCCCGCATACGACTGCACATTGTGCATGAGTCGAATATGACTTTTAAATAGCTTTGGCAGGCAACAACACGTGAACTCACACATCGTGTTATCCAATAATGCAAAAAGAACTTACATGTCAACCCAGTATAAAGAGGCACTTAAAAGTGACAGGAGTGGCTAAACATGCTCAGATTAGAAACAAAGTGTTTCCAGGTCAGAAATATTTCCCTCTATTACTCGATCAGTGTGGCTAAGAAGGTCACAGTGATGGATAAATATCATTTGTAGGCCATTTCTAAGCGGGAGACATCATGTGGCCATGGAATGTGTGAAATTAAGTCGTGAGCTGTATCCAGTCCACAAGCTGTTGGTTCCCCATCCTTAAGGTAAACGTGTGGATGCGGAGTGTGGATGGCGTGAGATACGAGTGTGTGTGTAGGGACGAGATCGACTCAGCCTCATATGAGGACCTGGTGCAGTGTGTTAACATCGCTACTCGGGAGAAAAAGGCGGCCGGGTGTGGTTTTGGCCACTGACCCCCTGGTGTGCTGTCGACCGACCTTCATAGGTGCTCGCTAACAGCACTTGCCTCAAAAGTATGTTACGGCTATATGGGAGATCATTCTGTCGTAGGGACTTGGTGTCTCGTACCTCCCGGGCGTCTTGCGAAAGAGCTGGCGCCCAGGCGTGTGTGATCCGCAGCTGCTTGTAGGAGTTGACGAGGATCTCTACGGCGGCCGGGCTGTCACCGCACAGCTCGAGAACCTCCACGGCCACGTGAGTGACGGAAGATCAGACGAGGGGAAACCAGATGAGTCAGTGGTAACCAGCTGAGTGAGCGAGTCGGTGGACCAGTTGAGTCAGGTGTGACCAGGAAAAGCAATGACTCAGTGAGTGAGCGGCGTGTGCATCAGTCTATTGGCATGTTAGCAGTGTAAACGGCACCTTGTGGAACTGCAGCGGGTAGATGCTCACGGAGCCGTGATTGAGCAGCATCTGGATGCATCGCTCGGGCTGCAGCGTGGGGCGGACGCTCACGACGCGCACGATGTACTGCAGTGCCGTGCAGCCCAGGCCGTCGAGCTGGTTCACGTGCGCGCCCGCCGACAGCAGCAGCTCGAGCAGGGTGCAGTCCGCGTTCCAGGCGGCACGGTGCAGCGCCGACTTGCGGTCCGTGTCCACGCCGTTGGGGTCAGCGCCCAGCGTTAGCAACCGCTCGCACACCTGATGCCGGAGCCAAACCCTTGTCAAGCGTCGGCAGTTCGTGGCGGGGCATAATACCTGAGCCCAGGCAGGTGCCCTCATGTGGGGTAGCTATCGAATTTGCAGGCAGTGCAGCTTCACTGGGGCCCATCGGCCAGAGGAGGCCAGGCGCCAAGTCATGAGGAGTGGAGAAATTGGACGGGTGGCCCTATTGTATTACTTACACCAGGGCCCTGGTAACCACGCTACTCCATAGTGGAGTAGCGTGGTGCCTGGAGAAATTCTGCATACACACAAGGGGGATACACTAATAAATCATCAATACAGTGCAGTTTGTCAGCTGATACATGGGCGCTAATGCAGCTGCACCGCCTGCACACTCGACGGCTACACCACTGCTCTAAGGGTCATACCGTGACCGGCGACGGAGGGCACATGTTGGCACACATACCTTGTGGTGCTGGGGGCTCACGCACATGTTCCTCATGCTGAGCGCCCAGAAGATGGCGGTGCACAGCGGTGTCTCGTCATGGCCGTCGCTGCCATCCACCTCGGCGCCGTGTGACACGTAGAGCGCCGCGTGCTCGGGAAGGCCGCAGCGCGCCGCCGTGTGGAGGGGCATCTCCTCGGCTGCGTTCCCCGTCTCCAGATTCACGTCTGCTCCTGCACGCACGCGCGCGTACACGCGTGTGCCAACCAACCACCAACAAGTTGTGGGGGCGTGACAGAAACAAGTTTTAATCCACTGCTTCAACTACAAATCTGGTGATTCTGTTCGCCACTTTCTCTACTTGTTCCCTAAATTTCGCTCTAAAGTTATATCTTCTCACATGCTCAATTCATGGCATGTTCTTCGGTTACAATTTACTGCATGGGTTTTAGTGCTTGTGCTGTATCAGCTCTTTGACGTGTTCTCGGCTTGTACCGCGGCATGATTGTTCCATGTGCTGCAAGTGTGGTGCCACAACGACGGGGCCGCTCTGCCGAGCCAGGGAGCCGCCCGGCTTCCCCCACCGCACTGCCCCCCATCACCCGCCCCACATAAGCACACACCCGCACGCATTCCCCCCCCCCCCCCATAGAGCTGGAAGGGAAGGTTACCTGATCGACCGGTTTTTATCCGAGAGACCCTTATCGGGATTAATTCTCACGGTTTCCGGCGATCAGGGAATTGGATGACCTCCCCCGTGCTACGTGGTACCGCGGCGCTGCTGCCGGCCTTAATATGGTGTGGTCGCGGCGTGGGGCATTCGGCCACCGCGGTTGAGGCGCATTTCCCCCCCACACACACCCCCACGAGTCGACGGGGCAAGCAGGGGAAGCACGGGACAGCATGAATAGCGGGGTCACAGGGGCTGTTGCGCATAGTCATGGAGGGTTGGGATAATTGCGCTTGAGCGCGCAGGCCCCATTGTTAGGAAGGGTAAGGGAGTAATTAGGATGTACGCCGCCAACGTCGCTCACTGATTAGCATATCAACAGCGCCCGGGAACCGCCGTGCGCGGGCTTGGGGTGCACGAGCCCATTGTTCAGCGCAGCATCCCCTTTGAGGTAGGGAGGATAAATAGAGAAGCGCAGAGGGGAAATCGCTCTCTTACTCCAGTGCCAGGCGACCAGACGCAGCTCGAGCCAGCGACCCGGACGTCCGTGCGACGCACCGAGGCACGCGGTTAGCACCAGGATCAGCGGACCGCCGTGGACACTTAACAGTGAGTAAGAAGGTGAATTAGAATCATAGCCGATAAATAGGGAATAGGTGCCGGTTTAGTGGAATAGGCCCGCCTCGTCGACTCACTGATTGAACATCAGTTACCAGGTAATAAATCATTAATAGCGAAGCGTGGTCTCGCGTGATCTTGTCGTGCAGTGTGAGCGTGTGGGAACGCGTGTGGTACTGTGTGTGCGTAAGCTCGCGGCGTGCGTAATAGGCGTACCCCAGGTGTGCGATCATAACGCAAGCGGCCAGCAGACGGCGAGCGCTGCGCAGAGCGGCGCAAGAGTGGGTGTCGCGTGTGTTCACTCCGTGTGTGATACAGGTGCGCGATCATATCTTGCGTAGTTGGTGTGGAGTTGGAGTGCACGGAGTGGCGTGTGTGTGTGTGCATACGTTCGTTACATGTCGGATACGGATGCGCATTGGTAACGTGCCGCACAGGGCTATACTGCGAGCACGGCGTTTGATTGACGATGATGTGCGCACGTATGCTCGCAGCGTGGGAGCGCGGCGCGAGGCTGTAACAGTAGGGGCGTCGCATTCGAATGCCGGCGAAACCGTAGCGAGTAATAGGGAGGTGGGGTAACGTAAACGGAATAGGGGATGCAGGCGGGAGGGACCCCGGGGGCCAACGGCCCCCACAAATTGGTGTCGGAAGCGGTACGGACCCCCGCGTTACCTCACGCTAAAATAAGACTAATATTTACCGGCCGGGGGGCCCCTTCGTGGAAGGCATTCGCCCGCAATCTCTTAGGGGCCAAGGAAATTAATGGATGGACGGACGCGCAGGCAGTACGTCAACTTAATATGAATCTTGATGGGCGGGCAGCCGATTTTGTAGAAGCGTTACCCGCGAGCGCACAGACACAGCTAGAGGAGCTGATGCGCCGACTCGATCAGCGTTTTGGCACGCGTGACGAGGAGGAAGCAAAATCGGCCTTAGAGGCGCGCCGTCGCCAACCTGGCGAAGATCTACGTGATTACGCCGAGGATGTGCGCGAGTTAACAAAGATCGCACGCCCGGGGTACGCAACTGATGTTATTGAGGAACTGGCCGCCGAGAAAATCCAGCGGTACCTGTCTCGCACGGCGTGGTGGCAGCCAGACATGAGCTGCCCACGTCTTCCCTTTAACACCCTTGTCGAGCGTGCACGTAAGTGTGAAAGAATTCACAGCGAACGCGCGCAGCTCCGGGGGCTGGGACGAGAGCGCGCCATTGCGAGCCTGCTCTCGGAAGACGAGGAGGAGGAACAGGAGCTCGCGAGGACGGTAAGGGGCCGGGAAAGAGAGCCTCCAGTGTCCCGCGAGACAACCCCGGGATGGGTAGCCGGGTTACAGGCTGGCATGGGAGATATGATAACCCAAGTAGACGATAAAATGAGCCGAAATATGGCCAAGCTACAGTCTACCATTGAGACGGAGATGGGGGAACTACGCTCGACCGTAGGGGGGCTGGCCGGGAGGGTGTCCCAATTAGAGTCCGATTTGGGACAACTGCGTACTGGAGGAGGGAGAGGGAGTGGGCAGAGAGCCCATTACGGAGCCGCCACCCCTCCCCGGGCATGTTATATGTGCGATCGCCGAGGGCATCTAGTGAGGGACTGTCCTCAGGTCGCCCGAGCTAGACAAGAGCTAAGGTCAAACACTAAGGCCCCCCTAGAGAGGGGACCACCGGGGGGTGAAATCGACGTAGCCCCGACACAAACAAGCTGTGAGAATAATGGCGAGCGAGTGATCTCCACACAGGTTCCAGCAACAACGCCCACAGAAACGGTGACTCCTGGCGACTGGCTGCGGGAGCTGGTGGCGGGAATCACGGGGGCCACGTCGCTGGTGGAAGGGGAGGTAAACGGAGTGCGTACCCGAATCCTGCTGGACACGGGGGCGGTGGCCTCGCTCGTGAGCGCAGCGCACTGCAGCGCGATCGGGGTCGACGTGCGTCACCTGCAGGCCCCGGACCGCGCGCTGCACACGGCGAGCGGAGCCGGAATGGGGCTGCTGGGGAGAGCCACCCTAGAGGTCCGCATAGGCAGCCAGGTGTGCACGCAGGAGTTCTACGTGTCGAGTGCGTTGTGTCACGAGTGTATCGCAGGCACCGACCTCCTAGAACGGTTGGGACTCAACGTGCAACCCCGCCAGCGATGCGCCACCATGGAGAGCAATGGCGAGCGGATACCGTTCCTGGGACGAGAACCAACGCGCCGCCGCTTTGCACCTGTGGCCGCTATCCTGGCGACGGCCGTCACCATCGGCCCGCTCACCGAGATGCTGGTGCCGGTGGCAACATCCCCCACCGACCCCGCGCTCCGACCATCAGGGGAGGTAATGCTAACTCCTCACCCGGAGTTGGCAAAACGGTATGGGGTTGTGGGATCCGCCACGTTGGTAAACGCAGATGGGGACCGATTGTTTATGCGGATGTTTAACCCCCACCATACCCCAGCGATACTGCGACGGCGCACCCCGATAGCCACAGTACACCCCCTGCACGCACGCCACTCTAACGACTCGGTGTTCGCACTCTGGGCTGAGGACCCCGGGCGTCCTGAGGGTGACCAGGACCTGGCCTGGCGAGTCGGCCCGACTCCCCGAGCCGAGGTCGTTCCCCTGCTCGACGCGTTACATGTACCATGGGCGGATTTACCTAAGGGAGAGGCCGATCGGCTGCGCGAGTTACTGCGGGAGTATGCCGACGTATTCAGTGAACACGACTCGGACGTGGGTCGGACCGATCTTGTTAAGCACCAAATTGACACCGGTGCAGCCCGACCCATCAAACTCCCTGCGTACCGAGTGGGCGCACCCGAACGCGCCCAAATCAAAGAGGCAGTTGGGGACATGCTTCGCGATAACATAATTCAGCCCTCGGCGAGCCCCTGGTCAGCCCCGGTGGTACTAGTAACGAAAAAGGATGGGTCAACCCGGTTCTGCGTCGATTACCGTAAACTAAACGCAGTCACGCTCGGCGATGCCTTCCCCATACCCCGCATCGACGACACCTTCGACAGTCTCGCAGGAGCGCGGTATTTTTCCACCCTCGATCTGGCGTCCGGTTACTGGCAGGTGGAGATGACGGAGGAGGATCGGCCAAAAACAGCATTCACCACCCCGATGGGCCTATTTGAGTTTCGAGTGTTGCCGTTCGGACTCACTAACGCGCCCGCGACGTTCCAGCGGTTGATGGAGTTGGTGATGCGGGCTTGCAGTGGGAACAGTGCCTGATTTACTTGGACGATGTGATAGTGTTCAGTAGATCTTTGTCTGAGCATTGGTCCAGGCTTCGAGAGGTGTTCCAGCGACTGCGAGCGGCTCATCTCAAGCTCAAGCCACGTAAGTGTTACATGGCACAACGCGAGGTGGGGTACCTCGGGCATCGCGTCAGCGAGGCAGGCGTGCACACCGATCCGGAGAAGGTACGCGCCGTAGTGGAGTGGCCACGGCCAAGGAATCTGACGGAGATCAGATCATTTTTGGGGCTCGCCACCTATTATCGTCGATTTGTAAAGGGATTCAGCGAGATTGCACGCCCTCTCACCCAACTCACCTCCCCTAAGCACCCCTACCAGTGGACGGGGACCTGCCAGACGGCCTTCACCACTCTCAAAGACCACCTCACCCACGCCCCCACCCTCGCTTTCCCCGATTTTACCACCGATTTTATTTTGGACACCGACGCCTGCAGCAGCGGGCTGGGCGCGGTGTTGTCACAGGTACAGGATGGGACGGAACGAGTCATCGCGTACGCCAGCCGGACCTTGAGTGGGGCCGAGCTGAACTATTGCGTGACCCGCCAAGAGTTGTATGCCGTGATTTTCGCATGCAAACAGTTCCGGCCGTATTTGTACGGCAGGAGATGTCGCGTACGCACTGACCATTATGCTCTGCAGTTTCTTCTTACATTCAAGGAGCCGCGGGGGCAGATGGCCCGGTGGTTGGCGCAGTTGCAGGA